CTACATCAGCATAATACCATGAGTTTGTTAACATCCCAAGGCAATGCAGTCTCCTAGGTTTGTGTCGAGAGTGATACTCTATAAGAGGTAGGTGAAACTGGGTATCTTAATTCTGAAGACTAACTCCGTATAATGCTGCTGGTCCCATCTTCGTTGTGCCTCTGGATATGTAACGCCGCAAAGATCAGATAATAATAATACAAAGCACCTCATACAAGGCAGAACCTGAACAGGCCAGGCGCCTACATTAGGACAAAAATGAGCATAATTGGAAATCTAGCATCAATGTAGGCTCCACGGTGTTGGGGGTTTCCCCCTTTTCTAAGCGGCATGCGTGATTATGCGTGACGCAACCCGCAAATTGTTCATCATTCCGCTGATTATGTCCTCAAACTCGGTAGGCTGCTTGAGCCTCACCTTGTCTGCCTCAGCGATGAGAAGATCAGAATCCAACTCCAACTCCAGCTCATGATTCTTGCTAGTCCCTTGTGTGACCTGCGTGAGATCAATTTGGTATGCGCCCAGCCATGAATAGGACATGCGGTCTTTTTGTCGCTGCATACTCTCCAGCGTCTTTCCTGGCTCTAGCGCGGCCTTGAGGCTTTCAATCGGGCCCGGGAAGTCGATTTCGAGGTTGATACCGATGCGATAGTCCCACTCTGTCTTAGGAGAGCTGATCTCGAGGTTCCCTATCCGATGTTTTATCATGGCTCGCACGAAGTCGCCCGTGTTCTTGTCGCGAGTTACGCGGACCTTCTGCCGGGTACCGGATGCGCTGATGAGACGCTGAACTATAGGATTCAACGTGGAGAAGCCTTCCTGGTCGAGCTCGTAGAACATGTCCGTCTCGTAGGTATGTCGGTAATCGATCGGCGGGCGCGGAGCACCGGGTATCTTCGACTGCTGGACCTGAGCGTTGAGGGCGTGGTTCATGCGCTTGTGTTGAAGAGCAGTCATAGTGCTTTCGAACTTGACATCCAAGGCTTCAGACTTGATAACGCATTCTGTGTTCCAGACCCCGCGCAGTCGCTGGTCGGTCTGCTTTTCTAGGATCTGACCCCAGCGCGCTTCGACTTCCAGTTGCACCTTTGGATCTGCGATCGCGTTTCGTACCGCCTCGTTGTTAACGGCTGTGGCCCAGATGAATTCGCATACTTCGTGCGCGACGACGTCGTAGAGTTGCGCATCGTGGAACATTGGCCGCACGAAGCGAGAGAGTCCAGATGCAGTGGCTGCTGGAGGAGGAGGCGCGCCGGCATCGCTGTGCGCGTGTCCGTTTCGTTCGGCGTTCGGAGACGGTTGAGGTCGCGGCGGAGGAGGGTGAGATGGAAGCGCAGGTTGCGCGCGTGAGTGTGCCTGGGGGACTACAGCAGGCGGAGGGGGACGCGACTGTTGGCGTTGTTGCTCTTGCAGCTGCCTGAGCTCAGGTGGAAGCTGTTCGCCTTCGCGATACGCCCATATGGGCTTGGGGTCATGGCGCTTCCGTTTCAGCGACATCTGCTGCTGGCTGGGTTTAGGCGTCGGTATCTTTGCGGCGGGAGTGACAGGGGAGGATGCGGGAAGGGAATGGGGGTGGGAGAGTGAACGGCGCGGTAGCACCGATGCTTCCCCATCGTGATTTACTAGCGCAGATATGTCCATCGTGGGTTGTGGTAGGGTTGTGCGTCGGACTCACCATCGTGTACAGATGCCTAGTGTTGCTGGGCGCACGGACGATTCCACTCTGGGCTCCTTTGTTCCAACGTTGTGCCGCCTCAGGTACCTGGGTAGCTACTGCCTGTCTAGCATGCGACCATCACCTGGAACTTGTGCGAAGAGGTAATCATTAAAGAGTTTGCTTGATCCGCTAGTGTTTACACCAAATCTTGTGTCCCTATGCGCCAGACCGTCATTTGCGCAAACGAGTCATGTATATGCGCCTCCTGCAGCGCACTCCACACCTTCTATCTAAACAACCAAACGTCCGCTCCGACGCTACCTTCACGCGTCTTGGTCAAGGCCAAGGTCTTCCTGCGCGGGGACAATGCGGAGTGTGTTGGTGTGTCCCATTCCTCCCCTCCAGCCCTGTACGCAAATAACTGGATCTCCCTTGCTGAGAACACCGAGCTTGATGGCGTTCATGATTCCCCACTTCAAACGGCGGTCAACATCCTCCTGCCATGGCTCCGTCTTGAAGTCGGGCTTCTTCTCGGGGAAGTAGAATGGGTAAACGCCGCGGTACAGGTGTGAATACTACTCAAGTTAGCCAAGGGAATCCCTGTGCACTGGAAAAAGCAAAACTTACCCTAGCAGCCATCTCATTGCGGGTAACCATGATGATAGGGCAGACGGGGCGGTACTTGGAGACGAGGCGGGCGGTGGTACCACTAATGCACGTTAGAATCACAAATGTACAACATGCTAGGAGACTCACCTCGTGGTCAGAACCAAGATGGCGCCAGCGTTCTGCTCGAGACTGGCACTGACGGCAGCCATTGCACAAGTCTCGGTAGTAGGGCATGGGACGGGTGCCAGCTTCCTCAGCTCATCGAACGCGTTGACGTATGGGATAGCGACCTCGGCGAGCAGGCAGGTCTCGTGCATCATGGTGACGGCCTCGACGGGGTAGTCACCCTTGGCGGTCTCTCCAGACAACATGACACAGTCGGCACCGTCGAGAACAGCGTTACCGACATCGCTAACTTCAGCGCGGGTTGGGCGCGGGTTGTAGGTCATGGACTCGAGCATCTGGGTTGCGCAGATGACAGGCTTTCCGGCAATGTTGCACTTGGTGATCATCATCTTCTGGGCGATGAAGACCTGGCTGGGCGGGATCTCGATACCAAGGTCACCACGAGCGACCATGACACCGTCGGTCTCCCTCAGGATCTCGTCAAAGTTGTTCACACCTTGCTGGTTCTCGACCTTGGCAATGATCTGGATGTCCTTGCCCTCCTCGCCGAGCACCTCACGAATGGCAGTGATGTCGCTGCCGCGGCGGATGAATGAGGCGAAGACCATGTCGACCTTGTTCTTGACACCGAACTTGAGATCGGCCTTGTCCTTCTCGGATAGTGGGGGAAGGTCAATGTCGGTCTTGGGCAGGTTGACACCCTTCCTCGACGAGATCTTGCCGTTGTTGACACACTTGCACTTGAGTGTCTGGTCGTCTGTGATCTCGAGGACCTCAAATGAGAGGACACCGTCATCGACGTAGATTATGCGACCAGGTGCGATGACCTTGGTGATGTTCTTGTAGTCGACGTACATGTTCTTGTCGTCGCATGCCGTGGCATATTGGTCGTCGGTGGTGATGTTTATGATGGAGCCAGCCTTGATGGGAATGTCGGCATCGCCCACAGTGTTACCAGTTCGGATCTCTGGGCCCTTGGTGTCAAGGGCAATAGCCAGAGGCCGGCCGGGCTGTGTCCTCTCCGCCTCGCGCGCATGGTCGATGACGGACTGGTGGTACTCGTAGGAGCCGTGGGAGAAGTTCATGCGAACGACATTGAGACCAACTTTGCGGAGGGAGTTGATCTTCTCGGCGGAGTTTGTCTTGGGACCGATGGTGCAGATGATGGAGGTTCTTCGGTACTCCTTGGCAGGTGTGTACTCAGTGTTGAGCTGGCTGAGCCACTCAATCCTGGTCCTGCCGGAGTTGAGGTGGTCTAGACTGTATTGCTGTCAGTAGGTGTTGGAGTTGGATGCTTCTATGTAGAAGCAACTTGTAACGCGTGAAGATGTGAGCTCAACTGCTAGGGTTTCTATGAAGAACTGCTGGCGTTCTGTTGTAAGAGAATAATCTATACGTACGCGTTCGCCATTTCTGCTGATAGTGTTCAGAGAGAGGGCTGTGAAGGGGGAAGACTGAGTCGCTGTCGCGGAGTGCGGGGCCGGGTAGAGAGTCTGTGTGAGGGACTCCAATTGAATGCGCGACGGCTGGGGGATGAGAGGAAGAGAGAAGAACAGGCTGCTCTCTGGAAAACGGCGGTCGACGGGTTTATCTTGTGCTGCGACGGGCTAGAAGTTTTGTTGGCTGTTGAGCGTGTTTTGGAGGGGCAGTTAGTAGCGCGCTAGTATGCTGCTTAGTACGTGGGGCTGCTGCACCCTGCGGCGGTTTGGATATGAGAATTGGAAACAGATTGCAGTCAGAAAATGGTCTGGAGACGGTTTGGTTGAATAAGAGTCTTTCGTTATGCGCCGAACCCTGGGCCGACTGCCTGCTGAACACGTCCCATGGTTGACTGTCGTGACGCCCATTTGCTTCTTCCACTCCGCCCACGTTGTCGCCTCATTGCCCTTGAACATCCCGCCCAGATAAGCCAGCCATCCGACGCGCATTTGCAAAGCGATTGAAAAATCTCGGCGCCCTCGCTCTGGGCGTATCCGGCTAGTGGGCGGTTGTGCTGGTGCGCGGCCGGCTGCTGGCGTGTAATGGATTTTTCAGTGGGTTACCCGCGCGGAGATGGTCGTGTCTTGGAGGTTTCATGGGGTCAAGAACAAGACATCGTCGCGGCAGGCCCTTGTTATATAGCAGGCGCACCTGTCGTAGGGTCCGCTCCTAAATCACCCGCAGCTGCTCCGCATGCTTGCCCGAGGTCAAAGGGAAGGTCCCATTGATGCGACAATACGGTCCAGTTCCATATTAGTGGGGACCGTTCTGCGTATCTGAGCCTGTAGGACATCGCGGACAGTCGCATAGGTAGTCGATAAAGATAGTCCCGCGACGGACATGCCCATCTATGGGTAGCACCTGAACTCGATCGAATTGATGCACCTGTCACATCGGCTTTTAGACCCTCTACACTAGGGAACGCTGAGGTCGTGTGCCAGCGCAATCACATGCAGACAAGTGACTAAGGAAGGGCACCAGCCACACCTCCACTCTACACCGCATCCCGCATCCTGCACTCAACAACAACACCCACACCCACCGAACCTCCTGAACCCCAGTCGCCACGCTCTCCCCAAGCAGCCTCACGTAGCCTCACATTCATCCGCCACCTCCCACGTCGCCCATCATGGTTGTATGTCTACTACTCTACTACTGCGTTTGTGGACCACCGAGTCGCATGCTCCGTAACTCACACAAGTAACAGCTCGGCAAAGTCGCACATTACGCCTTCGATGCGGTATTAAGTACGCACCCTCACTTTCGCCCCAACCATATCCATCGCTAACATTACCCCAGTATCCGCCTTCCTCGCCGGCGTCCGCCGCTCAACTGGCCTCACGTATGTCCCCATCCATCCCTTCAAGCGCCACCCAACCCACCTCTCCTCCACAACCCCCCGTTTCGTCGCCGCGCAAAACTACAAGATCGGAGCTAAAGCTAAACCCAGACCCAGTGTGAAGCCAGATACTTTCGGCGAAAACCCCAGCGCCCAGAAATGGTTCGAGAGCTACCTCTGGGTCGGCGAGACGGTCATGGACCAAAGCGTCGCCTTCTTCGGTTCCAGTTCCTACTTTGAGCGCAAGCGATAGATGCGTTGTATACCCACAATCAGCGACGAAGTCACGGCGAATATGTGATCTGCGGATGTGCGGAAGATGAAACGCTACACGAGGCGGGCGACTAGAAGCTCTGGCAGCTGGGGCTGGCTAGATGAGTCGTGGTGCGTTGGGCACATCTTGGCGATACCTGAATGGCTTGGAAGTTGGATGAAGAGCACGGCGTCGAGTTTCCCTCTCGATTAGCAGGCAGACGGCGTTGGGGCGAAACCATTGTCTATGAGATTACGAATCAAAATTATTCCAACATGTTCTCTCTTCGCTATCGATGAACTCAGGTCTATTCCGCTATCGCTGCGCACTCCATGCAGGGTATCATACGCGCTTATGTATAAATCGAGAAAACAGACCGATGATCTTACCCTCATGTTCTCCGTTTGAACCTGAATCCAGTCTCCTCATCATCGCTATCGTCGTCCTTTCTGCTAAACCTCCCCTTCTTACTAGCAGGCTGCCCGCTCGCAGCGTCAGATCCCCTCTTCTTCCCCCTCTGCGTCTGCGTGCTCTCAAGCTGTGTCTCTACAACCCTCTGCGTCCGCCCACTACTCTTCTGCGTTCGTTGTTCTGGAACCTCCTCGTCGTCCGGTCCGCTATCTTCCACATTAATGACTTCTTGCTGCGCCTGAGACTGCGTAGTCCGTTTCCGACGAGTGAAGCCACCGACTTCTGGCTCTGACGAATCGTCCGCTGCTGCGTTGCGACCGCGCCGGCTATCGCGTGAACGGAAAGAGGGCTCAGGGTCTTCGAGAAAGAAGGCGTCAGTGAGGCCGAAGCCCTTCTTGGCTGGTGCTTCTTCAAGCGTGACGATGACTTTGTGGGCTTGGACGCCCTGTTCGGCACCACGGCGACGGAACCTCTTAAAGTTCTTGCGACCGTTCCACTCAGCGTTCCAGCGCTCGTTATTGGTTTGACTTTGATTGCGCGAAGGGCCTCTGTTCTGCCGAGGTAGAACGTCCATCTCTTCTATTTGGGCCAGGTTCTTCAGCTCAGTGATGTCGATACCTTCAAGCGCTTCTCGCAAGCTCTCCTCGTCTGCCTTGCGACGCTCCTCTTCTTCTTTGATGCGCTTACGAGTATGCTCGCGGATATTGATTTCCTTTTCGGACTTGTCTTTTGCCAAGTTGAGTCGCTCCCGAGCAGCTGCTATAGTGGATGCTCTTTTCACCGGGCCCCCTTCTTCGGGCTCGACAGAAGCCGATGGCGCACGCGTAGCTGCTCTTTGTGCCCTCATTTTGGCGGCCGTCGGGAACAGGGTATCCATCTGCTCTTCTTTCTCGATCGTCTTTCGGGTGTTTGATGGCGGAGAAGCTTGACTTGGTGTACCTGATGTATTGCGTGCTTGCGAAGCTGTCATCGATGGTCCTCGTAGTGGTACAGACTGCTGGACGTCTTCCACTGGAGGATTTTCGACCTTCAGTTTCTTCTTCGGGATGGGTTCGTCATCATCAAAGCCCGTGAAGCGGCTTGTCTTTGGCCGGTGGATGCGCTTTCGTGGGTTGATCTTTGCGGGCTCTTCCGCAGGAGGTTCGTTCTCCTCGGGGGCCTGCGACGGTGCCCTAGATTCAGACATTGGTGTTGGTTGACGCATAGAGCGGCCACTGCTTGTGACCTCTGGTGGTGCAGTAGCAATCACTTCTGCGGGCGGGCTTTGTATTGAGGCACGGTCCCCTGTGAGAATCGTGTCGAGAAACTCCTTCTGTTCGATCGAGCGCTGCCCAAGTGCCTGATCAACGCCGATCCGAAAGCTCTTGAGCCATTCGTCCTCTGCTAGTACGTTTAAGCGCACCGTTATGACGGGAAGCTTGTCGCCAGGTTTGCCACGTCGCTTCTTTCCTGCCACATTGTGGACGTGATCGACATACTCGTCTACCGTTGTCTCGCCAAGTTGTAGATTGTATAGTAATGCCTTACCGCCTCCACCGGTGACGGGATCCAGCAAACTACTGTGTTGGCTTTCGCTCAGAAACACAAAAGTCAGCCCAGAGAAGACATCTGACCGCGAGGGATCAGGTAGCAACATCTCATGTGGCTGATGAACCGGCTCTTTGTCAATTCCTGGTATGTATTCCTTCTCCGCTGGCCACCATGCATCAAAATCCTCTTCTAGCTTCGAAGGCAGGTAATTGTTTTCTTCGTCGACCGATGGAGCAGCCACAATGAGGACTTTATCAAGGAACTCTGTAGTGACGATGTGTTTGGCTGAAGTCAGACCCGAGAGGACTTTGGGAAGGTTCCGTTTCGCGGATACGACGTGGGTGGTCTTGTCGAATACGAAGTCGGTTGTAGTCTTGATGTCTAGGGTGTGTAGCTGCGCGCTGCGGGCTTTGTTCTCTTTTGATTCCTTCGAAGCATATGTAAAGACGACTGGGCGCCAGACGATCTTGAATGGCGCATAGCTGGCAGCCAATCTGATGGTATGTTCGGTGCCTTTCAGGGTCTCGCGGCTGTATTCTATCGACCCATCGGAGGCCTTCTGGCTCTTCAATGTAGTTTTCTCGTCGATTGTGACTCCCTGCCTGCAACTCAGATCGGTCACCTCGATCTGAGACCTCTTGTGAAGCTTTGTGCCGTCTTCTGGTGCTGCGTCATACACCTTCAGCATAACATGCTTGCGCGAGACCGCCTTGTTTTCAATCTTCCAATTTTTTCCTTGTGGGCCATCTTTGTCGTCTGACTTGGTGCGACCGAACAGTTGCTGTGATCCGGGGCGGAGCCAGACGCGCTTGCCTCCGAAGAGGCTCTCGTGCTCCAGGAACCACATTGTGAAGGCGTCGGTACGAGAGGGCTACAAGGTGTGTAGAGGAACGGCGGGTGGGATGCGCATTGTTGTGCTCGCGGTGAGACTGCGCGCGCAATGGTCTCGTGTGGCGTTGGCTGTGTTCACGACTCTAGGCTGAAGTGCGCCGAGTCTATGCGCGATGTCGCGGTGTCAGGTGAGACGCTAGCGCTCCTGCTTCCTCTTCACTATCCCAGCAATCGCGATCAGGCATCACCCATCACTAATACCAGCGTCACACTAAACTACAAAGTCACTCTTCCAATGTTGCCGTGCTAGTGCACTAAGCTTGGCGTCTTTACATGGACCACACCTGCGACTTTAGATCTTCACGGTTGCAATCATCAACCTGTCCAAGTATCCCCCACCCACCCGCAACCACCTATATTACTCAGTCTCCCATGTCGAAACTCTTCCTGGGCATCTGTAAGATCTTCAGAGACACGTTTCTCACGATGAGCGAGCAACCGTTCACGTGTGACGCGTTGAAGGTAAAATGTCCATTGGGATATCTACAGTATTCTACCAGCAACTCGCGCAACCCAAAACTATGACCCTCTTGGGTATCACAAAACGAACAGTAGACGAGCGATGGACCTAAAAATAACGACAACACAACATCTTCTTCCATCCCATTTCATGCCTGCACCTCAGACACAGTCTCTGAAGCTTCCCGCATTGCTTGTTTGGCAGCGGCGTTCTTTTCCCTCTCCTGCTGGATTCGCTCAGCATACAGACTCTTAGCTCTCATGGTAGGGCCCCATTTGTAGATGAAGAAGACCGGGGCGCAAACGAGAGCGGAGATGGCGAACAAGACCCAAGTCGAATTTGTGACACCGAGCTTCTTGTACATCGGACCGGTGTAGAAGGAGCAAATACCGGCAAGGACGTCTCGGGCGAAGCCATTGCCACCGGTGGCTGAAGCGGAATACGTGCCTCCGTACGCGGCAACCATGTAGTCGATCGTGGCGAAGTAGATGGCGAGATTTGCGCATCCGATCAGGACCGCGAAGATGAGGGGCGCAATCCAGGGAAGGGGTGGGCCAGATACTACAAACGCTGACCCGAATAGGCCAATCGGCAGGAGCAGGACGATCCAGCGGAGGGCTGATAGTCGGCTCTCGGGACTCAGCACTTTCCCGTTGCTGCGCTGCTGATTGTGTTTTCGGATGACGGGTACGTATAGCACTGCTGCTAGCCAGTAGCCGATGAAGAGAGCGAACAAGGCGAGCCCTAGCTGACTAGGAGTGAAGCCCCATCCCTCCTTGCCGAACACGTAACCGTATGACTCGAGGAAACTGAAGATGAGGGCGTCGCTGAATCCACTGAGCAGCGACAGGAAGCCAACGATCGGTTCACAGACTAGCATCTTGTATGGTCGACCCATGATCTTGCCACATTTCTTGAGGTTCAGCTTGTCCGTCTCAGTTGGACCGACGACATTGGCATCTGGGTTCTGCTTGCGTTGCTTCTTGGCTACCTTGTTAAGCATAATTGTCGACCTGGTCTCCGGCACGAAGCAGAAGTGAACGAACTGAACAGTGGCGCCTAGGATAAGCTGGATCCAGAAGTTCCACCGCCAGTGAAGGAATTGCTCGATGGGACCTCCACAGATGCCGCCAATTACTGGAGACAGTTAGCATTTCATTCCTCAGACATCTATGACATGAGGTTTACATACCGGAACCTAGACAGCTCCACAAGCTGACCCAGAGGATAGGGAGCTGCTGATCTTCGGGATCGAACATGTCCGCAACCATTCCGAGTGTGACGGAGCCGCCGGCAGAGCAGATACCGCCGAGCAGACGCGCAGCCAGCACATGGCCCCAGGACGTACTGGCACCGGCCATGATCTGCCAGATGTTGACGGTGAAGAGGGATATCTGCATAATTGGCCATCGTCCGTACTCCTCGGACCAGGGCGCCCATAGTTCGCACCCAATACCGTACAGGATCAAAAACCATGCCATACCCGCTCTTGCGTTGGTGAAGTGGTTGCTGCCGAGATGGTAGTGCTCGTTGAGCGGCCCAATTGCGTTGGAGTAGACCGCTGCGTTATAGTCTGTCGCCTGTTAGCCTCGTATGACTAGACAGTTGGTAAGACCACTTACTCATGCTGGTTTGGCAGAGTCCAACGACAGTCAAAATCGCCCATTTCTTCTTGTTTGAGAACGCATACCCGGTCTTCTCATATGCG